AGTCTCATTTTTTCATATTTTATACGACAAAAATTTTTTCAATATTTGAAAAATAAAAATCAAACAGCAATGTTTGAGAAGAAGAGAGAGAGAGAGAGAGAAAGTTTTGCACAATATTTTTTATATGCATCTTATCCGCGAGATTCATCCTTCACTAATCATCAAGAAATATCGCGTTTACCTTACTCTTATGTTTCTTGTAATCACCAATCGACTATTATTATAATCGCAGTCATTTTGACAGGACATCTAGTTTTCTCATAAAATCAATAGCAAAACACAAAATCGGGTATCGAAGGGAATTAAATCGGTGAAAGAGAATTTGGCCGATGTACTGTGTACAATAATATACCAACAATGCACCGCGTTATTTTTATTACTTCCGTGAGTCTCTACCGAGACTATGAAAGCTCTCTGTAACCAACGTGAACACGCTAACTGCCAGACACTGATTGTGAGTACAAGTATCTCTCCTGCAATGTGTGGCAGCCGCAATAAAGCGCTCAATCGATTCACGCAACTGTGCTTTATTGATTATCCGATTTCAATATACCTGCCTGTTACCAGCCGCCGATTGAATTGAACTACCGACATTAAATAAAACCAACGTAATATTAGATATGCTTATATCCTCATCATGTTTGAATGATATTATGAGATTTGGCAAGCGATATTGATAACGGTAACATCATAACAGAGATAGCAAAAATTGAATCCCAGATTATAATTGAAACAGATATTTAAAATAAACCCTGTTCTCTCTCTTTTTTTCTCACATTTCACATGCTTACGAAAAATTTTTACCGCCAGGCGCGCATAATTTTTACAATATTAGCAAGAATTATTTTTACAACGAGACATGATATTTCGGCAGGAAATCACGCGCGATAAAATACGCAATCTCGACGTGTCCTTATACGTGGAGAACTGAACTATTCGATCAACGAGGAGGTCACGGAATTGACGTGTCGTCAGCGTTTTGCATTTCCTTGATGAAAAACAAATATTGGAGCGGCACGTAACCGTCGAGCATATTGATTATCAAACATATCGAAATGCAGGATGCATTTTTCATCAACGTATCTCTATCGCGCACATCTGATGAAAGAAATTTTCAACGCAATGTCGACTACATCCTAACGAGTACATTAATCAATTAGAATCTTATTTATTTTCTTTGACAGAAACCATTTATAATAATGTATCTCCATCATATATACAACATATTTAATACCATATATTTGTAATGAAAAACTACATCTGTTTACGAACTCTGTATAGATGTTAAAAATGTTTTCAAACCGGAAGAGATAGGAAAGATATTTTATATTAATGCAAAAAAAATTTTTATTTGTAAAGAAAATGTTTTTATCACGATAAGAGATCAATCTTTATCACAATTGAAATAGTGATTTATTACACAATAACAATTTATAATGAAATAACATTTATTGCAATCACTTTATATAAATGTTTCCCGCTAAAAGCATTTACACAAGATTGATTCCTTTAAATATCTATGTAAAAAGAATATACAAACTAATGTATATACTATTTTGTTAAATTTGAAAACTTACGATACATTAAAATCGCGCGCAGTGATCAACTACAAAGATATTAGAGACGGCAATTCTGAGTTCTGTATATTTCTTTCATCTTTCGTCTCAATTCAGAAGTCGGGAGATTTACGGTGCTGATTCGTAACTTTCTTCCCGCAGGCGGAATTAAAAATTCCAAGATTGTTTTATCGTCGTTGTACGCTTCGTAGCGATACGGTATCTTTCGACCTCTCGCCAGAGGTTGTGACTATCGCACAAGCTATCTCTCGAAAGCTATCTAGAGCAGCGGCGACGACGATCGACTAAAGTATCGCAAGGAGTGGTCTCCTTGTGAGAAAAGAAAAAAAAGAGCAAGCAGAAGACATTTGCTCGTCTTAAGTCGGGCTGTTTGATTCTTTCGAGAGTGCACCTCGCAATAGCGGTATTATGTCTAGAAGGAAAGAAGCTCAAACATGGAGAATTCTTTTACGAAGCGACGAATCGATTCCTTATCGGTGACAAAGTTTATACTGCACGTTATCGATATTGTATAAATGTACCTATAATAGGCTTCGTGTGTCTGCAGTTATTCTTCTCTTTTCTCGATACGCGTTATCAAAATTGATATCGAGTAGAAAATTATTGTCGTCGCAAAATCCGTAATAATCACGCGAAGGATTTATCGACGTGCAATCGTGTACCTAGTTTTCTGCTGTATCGATTTTAATAAATAATTTGTGACAAAATTTGTGACAATTCAACATCCGCGATAATTAAATTTGTAATTTTAAAAATCGATATTTTAATTGATGCCTTTTTTTTTACATTTGCATATATTAATAAAATTCATGCTTTAAAAATTATAGCGCTAACTCTATCATTTTTTCAAAATAAAGATATCATATATTTTGTGCGTAATGTAACATTGAGTAATTGATGCGAGTCAACTTTTTTATTACAAATCACTCAAATTTTGTAACATCCAAAAATACAGGCTTTGCCTGCATGTTTTGCCAAAATCAGTTTAGCAAATTATTCTGCTCGCACATGTAATGCACATTAACACTTGATATTTGATGAGTAGCTCAGGTTATTCATTGACACAACATGATTGCTACAATATTTATAGTAATCAACATAATTGAAAACATACATAGCTTAGTTAAACTCGATATAAACACAATGATTAATTTAGAGTGACAATTAATCATTGCATAGTAATAACATCAATAACAAATAACGCTATATAATTTGTAATTATTATATTAATCATCGATCGTGCATTAATAGTGGAAATACAGGCATGTTTCATCAAACAAACACTACTGTCAAATTAAAAAGTCTTTGCTCCTACATAAAAAGCTTCCATAATGTTTCGACAAAATAGATTTACTTTCGTTATTGAATAACAATATTAAACTCAATCAGTTTAGTTTGCAGATTTTAATTCTACATACAAAAATTTCTTGTTTGTCTTTGAAATATTATATTTGCGCATATGTATGAATGTATATATTATTTATTTAAGCTTTTTTTGTGCATGCATACACACACATGCAATATCATAAAAATGAAACAAAAACAAAAATATATTACGAGAAAAATTTTTAAATAATACGGCGAATTTTTCAAAAAATACGCGAATAGTATTAAACAAGCATACTGCGCGACTAATCAACTAATCCATATTCGAGTACCGTATCAAAAAAGAGAATTTCTCACAGAGAATTTTTCGAATGGCTTTAACTAGCTCCGGCCCTCAGGGTAGTCTCGGGTAAAAGCCAAAACTGCCAAGCAACGCGATGAAAATGCTGTAAACTCTTAGAAAGCTAAAAGGTGACAAGATGTGCGAGTCATTGACGTTGAAACGTAATAATGCTACTTCGAAATGTTTCACGTCTCTCTCTCCAATATTGTAAAGCTATCCAAAGGCAGTATTTTATTGCGGAAAATATGTGATTCTTTCTGTTGAATGCATTTTTATTACTATAGCAAACTGCCGCTATGAAGAATTGTTATGGCCGTAATGCCGATCAGATCAACACCATTGTATCGCTGATACTTACAATCGTGAATAGTTCTTTTTATAATTTTGAGAAATTATTCTTAATCGACACACATAAAAATCAAATTGATAATTTGTTCGTATTTAACTTGAACTGACTTTTGGTTAAATATACGTTTCCTTTCATTTTCTTTAATTTTAAACAAATTTTTTATTTTGCTCTCAACTATATTTAACATTAACTATCTTGAGCATGTCTAATATCTTGCATTCTTATTCTACCAGATAGTATTGTCACTAATCAAAAATAATTTTCTTTTTTATTTCAACGTTTATATTTGTAATATATCTTTATCTGTTCATAAAGCTTTTTCAAATATACCAAAATACTTTTTGAAATATTTATTTTATATTATTTTGCATTATTTATTTATAGTTTCGTATTTCTAAAATTTATATTTAAATAACAAGCACAGTAAAAAATTGTTTGCGAAATAACGCAATTTAATTCGGCAACTCCATTCGATAAGGCTATAATTTTTTGACGCAATATTGATCTGCTTCACCAATCGAAAGTATGATCAGTCATAGATGCGATTCTTTCCAGTGGAACTTATATTTATAATTCAAGGCTATCATAACTCTCTGTTTTCTTCTGTCAACGCATTTCCTTCTCCATTTCACTGTTCGATAAAGTCACAGACGCGGAAAGAGGCGCAATCGTCGTCGACGGATGTGGGAATGGAGGTGAAATTCACGAGATGATACGGCTACGAGAGCAACGCGCGCATAAAGGGCACTTTCGCTAAATTATGCATAGCGCATGAAAAATTCCCATGGCGAGCCGAGCCTCCGACTTCCACAGGCTGCATAAGGAGATTCGCATTATCGTACATGTTGAATGACGGGAAGCGAGAGAGAGAGAGAAAGGGGGGGTGGGGGAGAATCCAAAGGGCAGCCGGGAGGCCGGAGAGCAGCCGGCAGCAGTATGAAATTTTTATCAGTGGTACACGGCGGAAAGCATGTCCGGAATCGGAACCGCTCCGTCCCC